CCTTCACCTGCAAGATTTTCCATCTTATTTTCTTTCCTAGCCATACTGTTAATGGAATCATAGAACCATAGAAGAGTTCGGGTTGGAAAGGACCTTAAGATCATCCAGTTCCAACCCCCCTGCCATGGGCAGGGACACCTCACACTAAACCATCTCACCCAAGGCTCTGTCCAACCTGGCCTTGAACACTGCCAGGGATGGAGCATTCACAACCTCCCTGGGCACCCATTTCAGTGCCTCAGCACCCTTACAATAAAGAACTTCTTCCTTATATCTGATCTAAACTTCTCCTGTTTAAGTTTGAACCCATTACCCCTTGTCCTGTCACTACAGTCCCTAATGAAGAGTCCATCCCCAGCATCCCTATAGGCCCCCTTCAGATACTGGGAGCTGCTCTGAGGTCTCCATGCAGCCTTCTCTTCTCCACGCTGAACAGCCCCAACTTTCTCAGCCCATCTTCATACCTATCATCACATTGACCTTATTAATTGCTCCTAATTCTTAGAAATTCTGTACCTGCTGTTCCTATTGAGGAAGGAACTCTTTAATGGAGAGCCCCTGTCTGATGTTAAACAATAGGGTATTTCCCAGCGGGAAAAAAAGCCTAATTAGTTTTCCCTGATTTCTTTCCATGGCTGATTAGTCCAACATACATGTGGGGAAGCTGCTTCCCCTGGGATACCTCAGTGCAAAATGGTCAATGAATTAACAAAATCAAAGCTGCCCTTGACCTCTTCAAGGAACTATTTGCAGCAGAGGGGTTTTACCTTTGTGTATCACCAAGGGTGAACGGAACAGGAGATGGGAATAGGCAGATCTGAACATCCCACTGAGCTCAGCTCAGTCCTCTAGGTAGGCTGTCAGCAGCATCCGGCATCGCTGCATGCCTTAGGAAAGTACATGATATTCCTGGCAAGCTGTCCCAGCTTCCTTTCTGTAGGGAGCACTGGAGAGCCAGCCTCTGCTCTATACACTCCTTGAGAGCTTGAGCCAGGGAGAAGAGAGCTGCAGTAATGGATGCACATGAAGGCAAAAGATGCTCTTGGCGTTCTTACTCCCATCCCAAGGCACATTGTTCCTTTCTGCCATGCACACAAGTGCTGCCAGGGGTGCTGCCCTCAGCCTTGGCAGCGTTGTGCCTGTTTGGCACCTTGCAAGCAAGGGCGATGTTATCAAAGCTGCTAATTCTGTGCCCCCAGCAACAGATGATGCAGCGGCCTCCAAAACCTGGACCTCTGATCACAGCATGCTTGTGGCCGAGATGGACTCCAGCAGCTCGTCAATGCTGTGTAGTTCATGGAAAGAATGACGAGGCTTAAAGGGAAAATCAGTGCTAGGAGACATCCACAAGCTCCTACTGGGAAAGCAGGTGTTTTAAGGAGCAGAGAGGCTCTTGTCTGCACAGCAAGATTTTGGCCAAAGACACTTAAAATAGCCCCAGTTAAATCAGATGTCTTTAGGATGCCACTGCCAAGTCCTCATAAGTAACAGGAAAGAATCTCACGACTTGGTGCAATGTAACCATGTAAGGGCAACTCTGCCCATCTTGTACAGTACAAGTACAGTTCATTCCCTTTCATGGCTCTACAAGGTCTGAACTATTCCTGTCCCAGGAAAACAAAGAGCATTTTACATCACAATACTGGAAAATGCAACTCAAAATGGAGTTTTGGGACACGGGTGCTCCCTTGTCAGGATTCTACAGGAATTTTTAGCCCTCATGTGCTCTGCAGTGTTGCTGGTGAAGACAGTGTGAAATTCAGGAAGCCTTTAGCACAGCACTAATCCTTTTCCAGATGAACTGGGGTTTAGGATATGGCACTGTGAGATTTCAGAAGCCTTATTTTGACAGGAAATGAATCAAAAAGGAATTCATTTCAGATTTTGAAAAGCCTGAAAACCAGAAGGCAACAATCAGTGCTACAAAGCAAAGACAGTTTTAAATCACAACTTAAATACTGAATCAATAGAGCAGTGTGAATTCAGTATAGCTGTGTGCTAATGGAGTTTAATGGCTTAAGAAGACATCTGAGAGACCTCAAGCTCATCTTGAACATTTAAGCTGTCAGTTCACTTTGCCTTATGGAGGAATTCCACTGAAATCCACATGGATGACCAGAGTCCCAGGGGATTAGAAGCAAGTCAACAATATTTAAACTCTTTAGTAAATAGGCAGTTATCAGCAGTAAACAGTTACTGGGTTTATTTAAAGTTCTACCCTAACGCCAAGGCAAAAGTAGCTTATTTAAGATACGCCAGAAAGAAACATGAAGTCCAATTAAAACTTATCTCCTTTTGCTGTGCACAAAGGAAAGTAATGAGCGTTGGCCATAAGCCAAGCTGAAATCTCTCCAGTTTGGAGACTCTATTTGTCTTTCCAGAGAGTGTTTTCAGAGATTTATCTGCTGGAAAAATGAATTATTTCCAGGAGAATCACAACCAACAGTCCTGTCTCCCCTCCCGTTTTATTAATGCATCTTTCATGGTTGACTTACACAGCAGAAGAAAACAGCTCACAAATAAAGTGGGTTTTTTCTGCTCATGGTATTTAACAGGTAACAAACTTGCATGATTTCTGTGTTACCAAGTTCAAAATTAATTCAACATTAAGTCTTTCTTTGGTATTTTTTGCTGAGTTCCCTCTCACTTGGAACATCCAGGAGTTTATCTATTAGAAGTTCTATCAGCTTGGAGGAGGACGACTAATTTCAGGTCTTATCAGTGGGAAGACAGCCTGTGCAGTCAAAGATGTTTAATTTATAGCTATGCTAAAAAGGGTGAACAGCTTGCTGATTTCAGCCTTCTCTCCTGAAACAAACCTTTAGTTTTGTACTTTATATTTAAATGGTGTCTTACACATGAGATCCTAATTTATGATTTGGATAAAACCTCTCTAACTCAAATTGAAACCCCACACCACAGTGCAACTACACATTAACACAGCCTGATTTGCTATGCTTGGATTCAACAGATTGCCATGGTGTCAAAGAAAATACCCTGACATGCCTAAGGAAGAAAAACACAGATAAGGAGAAAGATGCTACACGTGGGTAGTTCAGCAACCCTCCCCAGTTCAAAGGCGACAGCATCCCTGCTTCAGGCCCTCCTGAGAGAAGTCATAGGTTGGTTTCCCACACCCACAGTAACTTGCAAACAAGCCAGAAACAAGACACATGGTAACCAGCTCTACATGGTGACAGCTTGCAGCATAAACAGGAAAGCATCACCAGAACACTTGCTATCACTTGAGAAAACTTTCAGAGGGCTGATGAGAGATTTAAGGGACTGCAAACACTGTCCTAGAGATGATCACATGGGAGCAAACACGGTGTAATCTGGATATAACCTCTCAGTAATTCCTGACAACATGCAATCAGCACATACAACCTGAAGTGTATGTGTAGGTACACACATACAGCCTGTGTGTAGCTGTAGGTATCATGAAATAGGTAAAATGTGGCTAACAACAGAAATGATCAACACTAGGTGCATCCCACCAGCATATTTTAAAACTACCAAAAGCATGTATGGCATTCTAATTGATAAAGCATCAGCTGATAAATAAACCTGATGTGTGTTAACAAAATCCACCAACACAAAGGCAGCACCTGGAAGAAAGGGTATCACCTTTTCTTGTATCCCTCCTGCAAAGCATTATACCAGTAAAAAAGACAGTAGGCTTTTAAGTCCTTGTAGAATTCCAGCTGCACCATACTTCTAAGTTCCTGTTGAATTACAGCCACAGTAACTCAGAAATCTCTTTTCCCAGTAGAGATGCCAGTGATTTTAACTAGACATTTTAAGACACAAAAGTATTAAGTGTCTGCTCCAGACACTCTTCCCTCTCTCAGACCTATCTTGGTGCCAGCAGTTATTTCTAGCTTAGCACTTACTGCAATTCTCTATTTCTGCACAGTACAGGAAAGAAGACTGTGGAGAGCTTTTGCAATTTAATACAGTGCTTAATGCTGGTAAGACATAAAAGGTTGTAATGCTGCTGGAAGCACCCACTAGAATGAATGGTGGGACCCCAAATGTTCATCAGTACAGCTCTAGCACCTTGACTATCCCACTTCCAAATGCAATTAAGCCCAATGTGAAGAGCTGATCAAAGACAAAACCCAAAAAGGTTTGAAACAACGTTTTCCTGGTGTTCTGGCACAGAAAGCAGGAGGAAGCTCAGAGGTGTCAGGATACAGTGCTGCAAGGTCAGGGTGATTGCAGCTTTTTTAAACACTTCAGTTTGACAGCCTATCTCTGACCTCAGCCCTGCAGATAACCTACCTTACTTCCAAGATACTGGGTGGATCCAAAGTTAATGCCTGCTGATACCTCAGCAAAGCCTGTGGTTTGACTATCAGCATAATCTGAGCCAATATGTATTTTCCTTTCACAGTAACTACAGCAGCTTTCCATTAGCAGAAAACCAACCAGTTCAAATTAAAACTGAGCACCAGAAGTACCACAGGTAAAACCCTGAAGCAGCTCTTTCAAACCACGTAATAAAAACTTGTGAGCTCAAAATCCCAGTGACTGAAATTACCCAGAGAAAGGGAACTGATAGGTAAGAGAGACAATGTCAAGATGTAGTAGCAAACCACTTGCATCCTCTCTTGGTTCTGCTAGTACCATACCTAAAAACAATAATTTGCTTAAAGAATGTATCATTGACAGAATAAATATTGTGAGCCTTCATCAGCAGAAACCCCACTAAACATTGATACGATAACGAAAAGAATCCCCTTGGTTTTTTGAGTGAAAAAGCAGCAAGCAGCATTTAGGTTGCTAGAAACTTAACTACATCTGGGAAAGAAAGATGATAGTAAAGCAGTGGAAATTATTCACTTTCAACTCTGGCACTGCTTTACAAGCTGATTTGTTTCAAGAATTCATAATCGGAATCTGCGTATCTTTTGACGACACACATTCCTAAGTCTTTTAAGACTAACTATAATAAATCTACTGATGTTTATGACTTGAACAAAAGACACACCACGATATAGGTCTGAAGTGTTTATTTTACATCAGATGTTCCATACCAGAGTTTCTTCAGTTAGAAATTCCTAGAAGAAAATGAAACAAACATTGTTACAAGCCAGTTTGCTTCAGCAGCTCAGGTAAATATTTTTGTCCAACTGTGTAATCATCCTATAACTACAGTGTATACATTTTCCTCTTAGAAGCTGGATTTGGGTATGGAAATTACCCCCGCAAGTGTTAGACGAGAAGATAAACATACGTACTTGGAAACAATTCCGTCATTTTTTGCCAGACGCAGGATGGAATCATCTGATTCACCCTTTAAAAAAACAAAGAGAGATGATTCTGAAGTGACCAAATAATTGCCAAATACACATTAAAAAGAGAAGCAGCTGCAGCATTAATGCTGGCAGTGAACTGCCCAACGCCTTCCACAGATCACTACATTTTATATGCACAGATTACTGTTTTCAAAACAAACTGTTAAATTCTTTGACATCCTTTAGGATAAGAAATAGTTTTCACTTGATAAAATATACACTTGAATTAGTGAGATGTATTTCTGAGTAAGCAGAGTTCTGATGAACTCCAGAAGCTTCACACCGTGTTTAATACATTTAAGTCATGGTAGTATCTTTAATAATTCTAAACAACAGATAAAAGCCAGATATTAGTAACTCGGTACATTAAAAGGAATAAAACCACTTGCATCCTTCAGTGAGTTTAAAAATCTAAACATACCTAATTCTACAAACCAAAGGATTAAGAAATAACCAGAAGAAACTGATTCCTGCAAGTGAATTTGGTCACGTCTTCACTCTGCCTTCATTATCCCCACACAAAAGCTCTCTCCTGAATGAGCTGAAGGCACGCTGTGTTTCCAGAGTCAAATCTAAATCTAAACAATTCCTCATCAATATAAAAGGAAGCACAAGCATCCTGGAGGTCAGGAAAGTACTCACCATTCGACGAATTGGTCCACAGATGGCGTATGTTTTGAACTGGCCGTTTACTCTGCCCGTTACCTTGTCAACCTGGAATTACAAGCAAGTTACTCCATGCAGATTCTTACACTGCAAGTCTTTTTCTGTAAATTACAAAACAATAAGGCAAATACCGATACTGAAGTTCAAAAGACACTATAGAGTATCTTCTCACAGAGAACTGATAGTTAATGACATGGTGCATCTATAAAATGGACCACAAAGTAACAAGATGACAATAGAAAATGAAGCTGAAAGAAGAAAACACTTGAGTTATGAAAAAACTGGGAAGTTCAGTGTAAAGTTCACTTGTGGATTTTACTGCCTTTGCTACTCTTTCATGTTTCTTTTAATTAAGGTCAGTATTACAGAAAACTTAAGTGAAGGTGGAAAGGGACAGTTTTATTACACAGGTAGAAAAGCATCCAAGTTGAGAGACAAATTGTCTCATTTCCTGCAGTTGCTGAAGAACAGGAAGACTAAACAATATAAATTGTGAAATTAAACAATGCAGTGAAACCTGTAATACCATGAGGGTTTGTTTCTGAGTTCTACTGATTAGCAGAGTCTTTGCAAACAAGAAATAAGGATCACTGAAGGAATGAAACATGGTGAAGAAGGGAAGTATTTACAGGAAATCAGAAGCAGAGCCTCTCAAAAAGTTAATTCTTTAGTCAGACACAATACAAGAGGCTTGGTTGTTTAAAAGCATGGGACCTCATAGCAGCCTTCCAGTATCTGAATCAGGGCTATAAGGATGCTGGGGATGGACTCTTCATTAGGGACTGCAGTGATAGGAGAAGGGGTAATGGGTTCAAACTTAAACAGGGGAAGTTTAGACTGGATCTAAGGAAGAAGTTCTTTACTGTTAGGGTGGTGAGGCACTGGAATGGGTTACCCAGGGAGGTTGTGAATGCTCCATCCCTGGCAGTGTTCAGGGCCAGGCTGGATGAAGCCTTGGCTGAGATGGTTTAGTGGGAGGTGTCCCTGCCCATGGCAGGGGGGTTGGAACTGGATGATCTTCAGGTCCTTTCCAACCCGAACTCTTCTACGGTTCTATGATTCCATTAACAATATGGCTAGGACAGAAAATAAGATAGAAAATCTTGCAGGTGAAGGGGAAAGAACTGGGGATATAAATGTATTGGTTATTAAACCAAAGCTTATTAACTTGAGCCCACGTGCATTAACTGGGATCCTGCTGAAGTCAAGGTCTACTGTGGTTTTCTCAGCATATACATTAAGCTTGGAGGACTTTGCAGTAACACTGATGATTAAATTAAGACAGGAACAAATTCCTTGTTACAGAAAGAAAACTAAACGGACAACATCAGGTCAACACATATAACCAGCGTGTCTCAGGAAGAATTCTAAGTATCAATACCCCAAGCACTGAGTTAGTGAAATGATAATGCACAAAGCACACAGACTCATTTGCTATCTATCAGGAGCAGCAGTGTCAAGAATTAACGCAAATGATTCAAGCAAAACATGGAAGATCTGCTCTGGAAACTCTGACTTTGGACAAACTAGAAAAAACAGAGAAGATCAACAAGAATAAAGAAGTTAAAAGAGCAGGTTGCCCTTGTGCACCCTGAATAACAGTACTGACTTACAGCCAGGTGAGGGTAGAAGGGGTAGGAATCCCCCTGAGGAAGCATTTCTTCTCCCTTTCTTCAGGGCAAGGAATTCCCTAGTAACACTAAATATCTACAGTTAGGAAGCTCTATTCAAACTGTTAAGCCCTGGAACAGACTGTGCAGAGCTTTTCCTCTGATGACTATCTTCCAGTAGGCTGAAAAATAACCAGGGGTGACACAGTAATATACCCATCTGTGTGTAAGCCCTCAAGCTCTATACTTATATGGTCTCCAGTTTATTTGGAGCTGTTCTATCTCTTAACTTCTATCCAAAGTTTAAAGGTGCAGCTCTCCCCACATATTTGGTATAAAACTTACCTCCGAAATATTTATCTGAATAGAAGCATGATCCTTAGCGCCGATTATGCGGTTGCTAGCAGAGCTAAGGAATAAAACAAGATGCATTTAACCAAAAGGAAACAGACAGTAACAATAAAAAAGCCACTATTAACACCAAACCTACATGCAAATTAAAGCTTCACAGGGAGTTCAGGCAATAAAGTTTTAAGCTTTCGGGGCTCAGAAAATTAAAATGAACTTTAAAGTACATTTAATGGAGAATTTCACTTGGCAGGGTCATGCTAAGTTGCCAACTATGCCTTCATTTTGGTTTCTATATACCCATTTCACCCCTATAGTGGACACACATCAGCACAGGCCTTCAAATCACACAGAATATCAAGCTTTGCTTTTCTAAAGTGTATGAAATACAGCAATCAAGGTAACTGATAAGAAGGCAGTTTCTGTGCCTTCTTCATGGGGAGCCATGACAGCTGCCAAAAGGCACTCAGGCTGCAAACCCCCCAGAAACCACAGGCTGTAAAAGCCACTGACTTAAACCTAATAAAATACACACAAATGGTTTATTTTTAGCCTGTTGTTGCTGTTTAACACCCATGTAAGAAGTTTCCCACTGTTACACCTACTACAATCTCAAAACTGTACTTAAGGTGTGCTATAAAAGCAATAAGGGCTCACTTCACAGGTTCACTGTGCTTGTAGCTACAAACCTGCGTATTTCCTCCTGGCATGAGCCATACAAGAGCTGTACTGCCACTGTACACACTGCCGCTGTAAAGCTGGCAGTTAGAAGATGCACAGTCATCACTTTATATTTAGTCTTTGCTTTGTATATTTTACACAAAGCATTTTAAAAACCGGAAATAAACAGAAAACACATATATATTTGTTTCAGAGGTATTCACAAAGCCCCTGCTTTCTGCCTCTGTTCCGGTTCTCGCCAAGGGCCCAACCACTCACCACTTCCGAGGGACGTAGAGGTCCACAAACTCCCCGGCGTCGTTCTGCATCTCGCTGGGGTGGCGGCGGAGGCACAGGCACCAAGCGGTAACACCTACAACGAGCGAGGCCTGGTCTGCAAACCGCGCTCCCTACAGCGGGCTCCACCCCGGAGCTGCCCCTCCCGCGGCCTCACAGCAGCGCGGGCACCACGAGACGCGCACCCCGCTTCCCCCCCCCCCTCCCCGGGAGCCCCGGCCCGGCCGCTCCCCGCGGAGCGGAGCCGCCATCGCGCTCCTACCTCGCGTGTGCCGCGGCGGAAAGGGAAGGAGGGCGGGCGGCGGAACCGGAAATAGCTTGGAAGGGGGCAGCGCACTTCCGGCGCGGGGGTATTGCGTCATTGGGCCGTTAAATGGCCTCGATGGGGCCGCGCTTGCTTAGGGGCCACGGGGGAACCGGAGCGCTGCCGCCCTTCGGCCTTTGAGGGGATGCGGGGCGCGGGTGTCAGCCCCGACACCCCCGTCGAGGAACACCCTTCCTCATGGAGCCAAGAACCCGAAGGGCACCGAGTCGCTTCGAAATAAGGCGTTTAATTACAAACCACGTACCAAAACAGCGTTTATTTTACAGCATCTTCACCTCACAAAAAAAAAAAAAAACAACAAAAACCAAAAAACATGGAAACAGGCTTTTAAATAATGGAGTAAGACAAAACCGTAACACATAAAAAATGTACAAGCTCTCATCAAGAGAGTTCACGCTGAGCCAAGCCAGCAGCATCTTTACACGCTCCACAGCACAAGCACCCCCCCTCGCCTCCGTGCAAACCAGCGCTTCCCTTCACAACAAGAGGAACTGGGCTGGGAAAATGCCAAAGCGGCAAATCCACGGATGAGTTCGGCTCCCGCTTTCAGTTTATTGATGGATAAACGCAGTAATAGTCCTTTACCACATGGTGGCAGCTTTTAGGTGGGAAGTATTCCCGCACAGGACTGCAAGCTACACTCTAGGAACAAAACCCAACGCAGACACGCACACGGTACCGTATCTGTGTAGAAAGGGTGGTTCTGCACAGACGCCACAACGGAGGCACTGATGCATGAGCTGCACCCCATGGCAGCATCATCCCCAAACCACGCTCTACCACTGACACCAGTGCGGCTCCACTGCAGGGTTTCTCACCTCTGCTCCAGCTTCTGAGCTCACCAATACCCCCAATGTGCCCAAGCCAACGTTTCAGTAACCTTTAGACAAAACAAACCATTCTGAACTTAATGCTCCTTAACCTAATGCGTTATTCTGAAAGGGAAGACAAAAGCTTGCCTGGTTAGGATGTGAAACTGTAGGTTCTGCGTGTGCCCCTGCAGCCCAAATGCCCACTGCAACTAGACAAACTTCCACTGAACAGAGTGGGTGGCAAACCCAAGTGCATTGTTTTCCTTACATGGCGAGAAAGGAAAGTTAATTTTGTTACAGAAAACTCTTTACAGGGTAAAGTTCCCAGTGAAAGGCATTTTCCAATTTCGTTTATACCAAAATGGTTTGCTAGCGCTGGAGATAACTGTGCCAGAAGTTCCTATGCTCACTTCTACCTCTGTCCCTTCCCCTAGTAACTTTAAGGAGTGGTAGACCACACTGTTGCCTTCACTGTTAGCTAATTTGAAGGCTAAGTATACGTTAGATGTTCAGTACATCACTACTTGCATGCAAGGACAGTTATATTCAGTAGAAAGTTTAACTAGTAGGCAAGTTTTTAAACCTTTTGGAAGATAACTGGCAAGCTTATTGTGTAACTTCGTTACCATCTCACTGACGGAAACCGGAAAGTCCTTCTGGGTTAGAAGTCACAAGCACTTTAAATTGTACACAATAACTTGAAGCTACATACAGCTGAACACAGTTACAAAAGATCTGATAGTCACTATATATGAAAAATACACTTTGAGCCCTTCTTAAAGAGGAAGGGGCTCCAGTAAAGTTTGATGCAATTCTAATGAAGCCAAATTAGCTTCAGACAAAACACAGCTGAAAAGGAAAGATTCAGCTTTGGTTTTGGCTACAACCAACATTTAATACAAGGAACAGGAATTTACATTACTGTACATATTAGAGAGCAAGTCCCTTGCCTCAGTACGAGGTCTAGTATTTCATTTAGGAGTCCGACTTAAATGACACGTTTCTCAGTTGTAATAGCCAAGCATCAGTTTTGTTCCTTGCAAACGGCCGCAGTTTGTATAATAATATTGCTTCAGAAAATCAACCCAAGAGCCAGTATCACAGAATGTTCCAAACAACAAATCAAGAGTTCATGCCCAACCTGGATATTTAAAGTAAATGAAGGAATAGGCAATGGTCAGAGAAGTTATTTAACCTCTGAGTAAGCATTTGAGCACTGCTGGGCTGTTCAGATGTTCAACAAATGCCAGTTCTATGAGGACCATCACAGTGACCAATGCTGGAAGAACGGAGTAAAAAGGTAGCATTTAAATATTGAGCATGCTTTGTTTCATTGGCTTCATTTGGCAGCAGTAGCTCTACTGACTCATTTGCTCAGAACATGTAAGACCATATACAACACAGTCATACTAGAAAGGTGCTCATTTCAGACCGTGGAACGCTGAAACAAAAACTGGAAATGAAACATTTGATAGCAAAACTGCTCTTTGTCAAGCACTCATCTTGACTAAAAGGTGAATTTGGATGGCAATGGCTTTGCCGCAGCAACCTTGGTCAACATGTGGTAGGTACTTCACAAGAGATTTTCAATCTTTTAAATAAAATGACTATTAATACCTTAAGAATATACAACTAAATTGGAATGAAGTAATTTCAGTCTTACTACTATAGGTCTGTAGTACAGTAGGGAATAGATGCCCTGTGTATCATTAGTGCAGATATACCGGAATTGTCTTCCTTATATGCAAGGCCAATGCAGGTAAAAAATAAATGGCTACACGGATTCAGGATTCCCCAGTAAATAAAATAACTAACTTAAAAAGCACTGGTACCAGACCAGCCAGTTTTAGGCACATCATTAAAAAAATAAAGTATGCATTTCATTAACACAAAAATGCACGAAGATTCTTAGAAACCTCTGAATTTTATGGTGCACTGGAATGGAAGTGACACTTCCTTTAGTTTCAAGGAATATAATAAAGGCTTTAAAAATAAACAAAAAGAAACAATACCATAGTATTCTTCATAGGGAAGAACAGTTTTAGTAAAACCAAAAGGATAAATAAGGAATAATAAGCAGCCATGACAGCTGACTGGTGAATCTCTGTGCTTTAAATGTCCAAAAGAAAATTAAAGTTCATTAACTCTTCTGGTACCATCCCCCAGACCTGCCATACGTGGCCACAATGCACACCTCAACAGTTCAGTGACACACTGCAAGCTCCAAAAGCGGCTGTAGCCAGGGCAGGATGCACGCAGGGGTGTGGAAGGGCTGGTGGCAACTGCACCAGCAGTGTTCAGTGATGCCATCCCCAGCGCCACTGGCTGTCAGCTGAACGTAGCTTTGGTTAAGACTGTTGTGTGAGCCGTCTGTAATGAGGTAAAACTTGGTTTTCGGGAAGATAGAGCGCCAGTTCCAAAGCTACGAGGACGGTGAATTCAAAACCAATGAGATCTCTTCTGTTGAATCTGAATCTCTCTTCTAGTTTCTATGATAGGAATACAAAAAAGAAGGGGGAGAAAGAATCAGTTAATCCACAGGACACCAATGTACTGTTTAATTATTAGCATGAAACAGGAGTCAGAGACGCCTGGCCTAAGCTGTACCTACAGGACCAGAAAGTGTTGCCAGGGATCAGACAAGTAAACCAGCTTATCAGCTCAGCTGTGACACCCACGCAACAGTCACAATTGCTTGAGTAAGTGCAAAAATAACCTCACTGTAGGATCAGCAGGACCTTACACTGCACCAGTTAGGTAATTTTAATGAATCACAGAAATTAATCAAGGAAGAGCCCTAATGAGACCTAAAATTGACTTAAAGAGCTGGTCTTAAATTAAAAGCAAGCATGCACTGCTTTGATCTTTGTCTTGTTCTATGAACTAGAGAGAAGGTTTTGACAACACCTGAAGCAAGTCCCAAAGTACTTACATCTATAAGGTGTTTAACTTCATGTTTCCTGAGATCGCTGCTGATCTTGGCTGCAAGCAGAACGCAAGCACCAGCACACAGTTTGCGGTTCTGTTTGTTGAGTTTCCCTTGGAGGACGAGCTTCTCAAAGTAAACATAAGCCATGGAGACAGTAACTGGCTCCAGATTGCACTCTTCACTCAGGTTCCGCATCTCCCTCTTTAAACTGGGAATAGGAAAAGAAACACCCTCTCAAACACGGCAGCTTTTATGAAATGCTCTGGAAACACTGCAGCTGGGGCACGCAGAAGAGCACAGGGGCAAATCTCCTATTTGTATAATCATGATGAGGATAACCTTAGACTGGAGAAGTCCAGCTGGCAGAAAGCTGGAGCTGATGCACAAACATTTAACATAGCTGACTGTGGAAGAACAGTTCCTCACATGCTCATAAACACTGGGGACTTAGCTGCTTCACTGACACACAGGCTATTGCTGCACGATTCCCTCTGGGCTCCCAAACTGGTTTGTGATTCATATCATACGCCTGAACAACCCTCACTTACAGAATACCACATCAAAGTCGTGCAGATCACAGCAGCTGCTGCAGAGAGACCTGTCTACTACACACCTTGTGGAAGAATCAGGTCTGAGGGGGAAGGCAGACTGGTTTACACACTTCCCACAACAGTGAAAGCTGTGCTTCAGCATTAAGGCAGACTTCATGGTGGATGCTACCTCTCCTAGCTGCCATTCATGTTACTCCTGCAAGAAGATCTCTGTGCAGACACACTACTCAGCTACAAAGAAGAGCATGCAGAACGCTAGCCGAACACAGACTCTGCCTGAGCAAGCCTTGGAGCAGAGTTACACGTAGCCCTGGTGATTCAGCAGAGCTGTGTTTAAGCTGGCTATTTCAGAGGCCCTGGCTGCATTAAGTGATGTGTAATACCAGCGAGATTACTTCTCTCTAAAGGCACAACAGTACATCTCATTGATGAGTGGCCAGATGCATTTCCTGGAAGATGAGGAATTGAGTGGCATAATCCTGCCTTCACAAAATGCTTTTCTTTACCAAGAGTCCCCAAACCTAACACTCTTCATCCTAGAATCTTGTTAGAGTCCATCAACAGCCAACTGGTAATTGAAAGGTGAACATAGCTGGAGGGTCCAGAAAGACAATCCAGTTAGAGTGGGGCTGCACTTACAGCCACACAGTCAGGTTACAAGGATTTGTTTCAAGGCTAACACTTCACTGTTAAGTGGCTATTAGTGTTGTCACACCACA